GTCCAGGGTGGGAGCAGCCTCTGCTCATGTCCAAGCATGGGTGTAGCTGGCACCGTAGGGGCGTGCCTGATGCAGAGGGCCTGGTGGCTGGAGGGGCTGCAGCTTGGGAAAGCTCCCATGGGATGTTCCTGCTGCAGGTGTGGGAGCAAGGAGCCACAGCAGGGGCACAATAGAACCACAAGAAGGCATACATGTAGACAGAGGTGGCACGCTTACATTGGACACAGCAAAGAACTGCTTCTGTTAGCTACTAACGGGGTGGAGAGTGGCAGCTGCCTGAGGCACAACCACTGCAGACTCTCCAGACTCACTGCAGTACCAACCTCTGCATCGAACCATCAAATCTGTGGTTGCTCGGAGAACTGAGGTACTGACTACACTGCCTCTGCTACTCTGCAAGAATAGTGCAGCCTTGTCACCAAGTATATTATGAAGCTGTATGATTTGCCAACACGAGGTAAACACCTGTAACACTGTGACTCTTCACAGTGTTATCAGATGGACGGCAAGACACTCAAAAGGAGTAACAAGAGTAATATTTACTCAAAGTGAAAGAATCAAAAGTATACTCCACAGGGCGGGTGTGGGCCAGTGAGAAGAGGTCATGACCCAACAGCAGCAGGCACCAGGTCTATTAAGGTCCTAGGGCTTATGGCAGGGTCCACAGTTGGGGATGGATAGGAGTTATGGTCCAGTGGGGTGCCTCACTGGTCCCACCCATCCAAAGGGAAAGTTTTGGACTACACAAGGTCTTTTAAGTGTCATAACACTTAAAAGTCCCCAGGCAGGGGGTCAAAACTGCAAGTGAAGTTGGATGCAGGTGAGGCTCATGTACCTTTGGCTTTGTGCATGCCTGGAGGCTTTGGGTGGGAGGGAACTGGATGACTTCTATGTCCTGGCTTTCTGATCCTTTGACAGTGCCATGTTTGGTGTCTAGTTTTTCGGTTCTTGTCCTTGTAGTTTGGTTGCTTCCTTATCTTTGTTCTTCTATCTCAGCAGAGCACACCTGTGTATTCTTAAGAGTTCTTCTTTCCTGATCATTAAAAGTGTCTGTGTATTTATGCTTGTCTAGAAACTGGTTGAAGGGCCGTGTCTTTCTTCCATGGATGCTCAAGCCAAGCCTACATTCCCCAGACCTTAAATGGATTTTAGCTGTGCAAATCAAGTAGGAATCTAGGAGGCAGTTCATCTGTTTCACTCCAGCACTCTAAGATCAGCAATCCTAAACATGGGAGCTAGGCCATTTTGGTAATCTTGCTGGTTTTGACTCCTAGATTTTCTTTCTCCAATCAGGAAACCTGTATTAGGAGCTGCTGCACAAGTTGCTACAGATTCAGGGACTTAAAAGGGGAGGACATGGTGCATGCCTGGAATGCCAGCACTCTAGGGGGCTGAAGCAGGAGGGTCATAAGTTTAAGCCCACCCTGAGCAACTCAGTGAGACTTTGTCTCCAAAAGGAGCAGGGAGGGATACAGTTCATTGCAAAGACCCTGAGTTTAACCCCTAGTATCAATCAATCAATCTTATTGGACTACCCATTTTTAAAAATGGGGAGGGATGCCTGCATCAATAGAAATTTGTTCTCCTATAGCTGTGGAGGTCAAAAGTCTGCTTCAATCTCACGGAATGAAAGTCAAGGTGTTGGTAAACCTGTGCCCCTTTGGGGCCTGTAGAGAATCCATTTCCTGGTTCTTTCAGCCTCTGGTGGCTACAGGTGTCCCTGGGCCAAGCCCCTCTTCTGATTCATCTACACATTATACCCTCCCCCCTTGTGTGGCTCACCTGGACAACCTAGGACAATCACCTTAATCCACCTTGCAAATATCCTTTCCTGTAGGTTCCAGCGATTAGCATGTGGATGTCCTTTAGGGACATTTTTCAGACTAAAACAAACCCATTTTAATTGCATTAAAGCATTTTCAAAGATACTGAGGTTTCCTCATCTGTGTATTTTCAGTATTTTGGGAAGAGATTATTATTTGGCCCTTGGAGGCCATTATTAGGAGGTAAGAAAGGAGCACATAATTCATTCTAGTGCCCCTATCTCCTTAAGTCTGATGGGAATTTCTGGCATGTTAGCCTCATGGGCTACCACTAAGTTAGGACTGCTTTTCAGCAATTGAGAAAGCAGTTTTGTAAATGTTCCCTCAGATATTTAGATCGATAAGCAATCCATACATTCAGCACACCTAGCACTTCTTTCTCCTTTGGACTTCTACACTCAGGATTCATTTCCACCTCCGAGTTCTCACTTTTGTTGACAAAAATTAGTAAAATGCCATGTACTCTGGTCCTGTTATGGCCCTCAGGCTGGTCAAGACCCATCTCGACTGCAGTCTGAATGCATGTGTGTGGGGAGAAGAGAATGGTGAGAAGATTCTTTGGTAGGCGGCATGGGGCCAGTGGGGTGGGGCTGGGTATCTGCAGACTAGTGAACTCAAGGACTGAGTCCCCCATCGGACCTCCCTTCCGATTCAGAGACCAAGTCCTTGTGGATTGTCAAATTCCACAGTCTATTTTTACTCTCTGATCATAAGACATGTTATTTTAGCACCTGCATAGCATGTCCTTATTCAGAAATTGCATTTTCATAAAGTTCAGTGTTGCTAGAAATCACCCTCCCCAACAATCTTGAATTCCCTTGCCTTTCACATGTCTGTGGCAATGGCAATTCATTCCTGGACAGCAATAGGGCTTTGAATCCAGGCAGGTACAATTTATTTCCCCAAATATTGTGTTACTATTGCCTCTAACTGTTTATCAATTTTGCTTTGGAGTTCTTGGTTTTAAGCAATAGAAACCAACTTTACCAGCTTTAAGCACAAAAGGGAAAGTGCTGGAATGATACCAAGCAGCTCAGAGTAACTGGAACCCTACAGTGAAACTCAGAAGAAAAAGGGGTAGCAAGCAGGAAACGCAGGCAGCGACTGTCGTTGCTAGACAGTGCTGCTACTGATGCTCCATAAAGAGCCTTTCCACCCCTTCCAGGGGGAATTGTCAGGCAATCCAGAATAGGTGAGTTCTAGCCCCAATCTGCCTGTGGGGGGTGGACCTGCCTCCTGGAGAGATTTAGAAAACGGGTATTCCTCCCAAACGGGTAAGTGTACTTGGGGAGAATTTGACTGATAAAATAACATCTATAATTCCTGTCTGCACCTTATTTCAGTTCTATTCAAGTGAATTATAATGGACTTTCCCTTGTGTGTATTCCTTGCCAAGCAAGCAGCTCCTTACTAATTTCCTCATTTTTCATATCCTGGGCATCGGGCATCAGTGCCTGGCACAGTGCACCCCAAATGTACAGCCATGCTGGCAATGACGAGGAAATCCAGGGCAGCACTCTTGGTGTCGAGGGGTGAGGGTGCAGCTTTGGCATGTTCTCACTCCTTGCAGGACAGAGCCTGTTATTTCCCAGATGCAGTACAAAAGGTTTACTGAAATACATCCGTTAAGTAGAAAATATTAGATTCTACAAATATTTGGAAGACTTAGAATTTCTCTAAATATTTCTTGTTACAATTAGCAAAAGTCTCAAAAGGAGGCACATAGCATTATAACCTATCAGTCAGTTCTAAGGTAGAATCCTGAGCCTCTGGAATATTCCTTTGTGGTTCCTCTGTACTGAAAATGATGGTTGGCACTCTGGTTTGGCCTTCTGGTTCCCAAGCAGAGTGTAGTTCTCTGGGGGCATGAGTCCACTGAAGCACCAGGGCTAGGATGCCACCCCTAGAACACCTGACTCAGGTTCTGAGGTAGCACTTCGGAATCCTGCAATTCTAACAAGTTTCCCAGAGGTGTCCTTACTGCTGCTGAACTGAGGACTCCGAGTCACACTGCAGCGAGAAGTAACGGTTCTGCCTGAGTCAAAGTTCTCTCACGTATTAAACAGAGAAGCAGCCCTGGTCTCCACCGACACTGTTGGCTTCACCCAGGCTGGTTCATTTTGTTTCCACAATGAGAGCAGGAAGCCACATTGTACAGATGCAGGTCTTGTCCCCACACTAGACCAGAGATAGCTCCCAGGCTGGCATACTGGTCAGGCCACCCAATGAAGGATGTCAAGGGATGTGGTCTGTTGGGAAGGTGGTGCTGTGCAAGTAGGAAGAATGATTAACTCACGAACTTTCAGAAAAAATATGTAACAAATGTCTGCTATTTTGGGCAGTGGTGTTTTGCCTCTGCTCATGTACTGCATTTTACCTTACATCAAGACTGTACAAACAGCTTTTTGCTGGACTAAAAATGTTAACTTTCATTTTTCAGGGATGCTAGAAATTGAATTCAGGTTCCTTGCCATTATAGGCAAGCACTCCTACCACTGAGATCTGCAGCCCTTAACTTTTTTAGAATAATTCCTTTGAGGATCTGATAAAAGGTAATGCACACCACTTTTACAGGAAATGTATAAGCTTACTAATAATATTATGGGCAATAATTTAAGGAACCCCAAAATAACATAACCCCCTGCAACAAGAATCCCTAGTTTAAAGGACAGAGCCCCAACTCCCTGACCTTGTAGGGTTTCAGTTCTTGATGTAAAAGGGGGTCTGACCCTATGACACGAGGCACTGGCCAGTTTTGCTCACAGCTATCTGCTCAGCATCCAAAAGCAGCATCAGGAAAAATGAAGGAATGACCATGAAGGTGACAAGGAACAGTAGTTTATGGGGCTAGAAGGAGCCCCATAAATGTGGGATGTTATCACTTCATCACACAATTGAGGGCTTCTTAAGGACCACTGTCTTTTCAAGGCAATGTGGCTACAGTGACTTTACTGACCTCTGGATAACACAAGGTCTGGAACACAGCATGGACACCAATGACAATTTTTGGATGTTACTAATAACCACTGTTTATCAGCTGGGCCACTGTATCTCTGCTCGCACATTTGCAGACTTAGCTAACTGCAGATAAAAATAAATTTGGAAAAAAATCGTGTCTGTAATTAACACATACAGAATTTTAAGTCACCATTCCCTAAATGTAAGTACTCAAACAGCTTTTTCAACGTATTAGTAATCCACACGTGATTTAATGTAACTGGGAAGACATGTATAGGTTCTGTGCAAATACTTTGTAAGAGACTTGAACAACCAGACTGTGGTCCCTGTGGGGTCCTCTAAGCACATGACAATGGGGAGCTGTGTGTCCCCTTTGGACAATACTAACCTGCATTTTATTTTTTTCATTTTACTAGATAGAGAAATAAAAACGATTGAATAAGGACATACAAAGTATCTGATTTATGGCACAAGGACAAGAACCAGAGAAGCAGTGATTCTGAAAGCTCCATTGCTAATAGTGAGGACAACTCTTTTCTGCACTAGGCCAGACAGCTTTACCTAGCACAGGAGCCCAATTCAAGCTCCCTTCATGATTCTCTCCAGCCACCATGCGAGTCCAAGTACATTCTAGTAAGAACCCCATGGCCAGGTCCCACTGCTGTCTTTCTCTCAAGTATTCTTAGGCAGTGTATGGATCCCCAGTAAGTTACCATCAGGGGCTCAGCAGTCCCCTAAAGACATATGCACAGCTCCCTGCACCCCCAGGATGTTATCCATATACAAAAGTCTGATCCTGAAAGCACCCCCTGCCAGGCCTCATGGAAGCAGTTATACTACAATGCCCTGCTGCTACATGCTAAGTCCAGTCATGCAGGAGTCCTTGTGCGCCCTACTTAGAGGTCTGCAGGCACCCAAACCACTCACTGCTGTTCAAACACGAAGGCAGTGAAAGAGACATGGTCATGTGAACATGGATGTTCCCTAAAGTTAATGAAGAGACTAGGTCATGGATGAAGGCCAGAAGGCTCTCCTCTAATCTCAGCGTGGCCTTTCCTGGACAGGTTAACAGTGAACATCATCCATGCATAACAACCAGGACAGGTCTGAAGGAAGTCAACGAGTGAGCAAAGTTGGTTAAAGAGGTCACACTGTGTTCTCATTTATATTGCATTCTGAAGATGCCACAATCATGCAGAAGACAGACACAGCTCCCAGGGTGGAACCCGGCCCCAGGAGTATGAAGGCACCATCCATAATGCTTCTGGGGGAAAATGTGACCAAAAATAAACTTCAAACTTTAGAAAGAAAATCTATTGGTCTGGCTCAGTGGGAACCCCGCACTGTGTTCCTTCCTGAGTAGAACAGGCTTTGAGTGCTCATGGTCAATAAAGTAGAAGGATCCACAGGATGTTGTATTTTCCTTACTAATTTAAGGGTAGATATAATCTCATTCAAAAGTAAACTATAAAATTCTAGCTTTATACTAACTAAAATTCTTGGTGAAAAACAACTTGTTTCTCTAAGAGCAGGTCATGGCAGGCTCACCCCAGGGCCACCTCCAGGATCTGGGGTATTGCATGAGTGAGAATGTCCCAAGAAACAATGGCCATCGGAGTGGCCCTGAGACTGTCAAGAGGCAACATGGGTTGGCACCTCACACAATCAGGGCACAATGCTGGATCTCCACACACCTAAGTAGATTCCTGTTTGATTTAATAAGAACCTGTGTTTGGAAACAGTGGAGGTGAGCCTACAGAAGCAATACCCACTCAGGGTGCAGACAAGTAGATTGCAGGGCCCTATTTCTTAGGTGCTCCCTTCCAGGTGCCAGGCTGTGGGCCTCCTGCTGCTCCCTGGTCAGGCTCTGCTGTCTCCAGAGTGATGCTCCTCTCCTGGTTCCCCTTCTTCCCTCTGCCTTGGGTTAATACTCTCCCCCATCTCAGCTCATCTTCATTTCTTCTAGGAAACCTGTCCAACTCAGAGTGACCACTGTGCTTTCTGCCATCATCTGAGTGGCATTCTGGTATTTCAGGTACTTGTATTCTTCTCTCGATGTCCTTCTGCTCTTTGTCATTGTCATCCTGTGACCTGTGAGTCAATACAAATGGTAAGTGACCACATGGAAAGTAAACACAGCCCTCCTTATACTGCTGAAGTGAATGAGACTAACGAAGTTTAAGGACTTTCCCGGGTGTCTAGACCAAAGCCCACCGTGACACACACTTGACAATTTAAGTTAATTTCCTGCTCAATTAACTGATGTATAATGATGCCAGATGAATTTTTGCATATACCACAGCATTAAAGAACAGTAAATAAATAGATGGTTGCTTAGCTTGTCTGGTTGTAGAAGCTTTGCCTCCATGAATCATGGGCAAAGTCCTTACACATCATCTGTGGTAGGAGTGGTGAAGACAGGGAGGATTGCCAAGTCCAGCAGGACTTCATGCCCCCAAGAGAGGACCAGGCACTGATATATCGAACAGTGGCCCTAAAACACCACAGCATACATCACACTGCTAAAACATGAAGGAATTCATAATCATGTATAAATTAATTTTATAAACCAATAAACCAAAACCCCAGAAAAGAGGGAAAATTTGGTGATTTTACGATGTCCTGTGATCTTGCCATTCTTGCTGAGCAGTGCAGCCCTGAGTGCTAGGGACTCCTGTGTCAGGATGCATGATGTGGCAGAAGCCTGGTCAGCAGCAAGACCAACTGCATGTGGTGGAGGCGAGGGTTAGGTTAGGGGGCTGGTTTCCCATCAGCCCAGCCAGCAGGGACGCCTGTGTCAGCCCCATCACAGATGCAGAGCCTCCACAAAGTTAGGGTACAAGCAGGCAAAGGGAAAGAATGAGGCAAGACTAGCAGAAGGCATGGCCAAGTAGAACCATAGCACACAAGTTTCTCTAACACAAAAAGCCAGCCAGCCCCAAGATTGGGTTCTCAAATTTACTATTATGTAGATAAAACTGCAGGAAGGGTGGCAGAGCCAAAGGGCACAAAACTCAAGACAGAAGAAAATGATAAACTGGTGCATGTCATGATTAAGAGAGAAGGTGCAGGAAGGGGGCCTGAGAGAGGGCTTGAGAAGAAGGAGGGACAGGATGGACAGGACAGGAAACATGAGAATGCAAGCTCAACATTGACTAAGCTCTTGGCATAACTGATGGGAAGCAAAACAAACATATGCTGTCTCATCCTGAGGCTACCCTCCCATCCCAGGACAGTGTGGCACATACACACTCACACGCCTAAGGGCAGCAAAAGGAGGTGAACTCACTTCTCCCTGTGTGCCCCTGTTGGGCTCTCTGAAGGCCTGGCTCTCATGGAGGTGCAGGGTGCACAAGTTTCCTGTTTTCCATCTCCAATGCTGACTTCCTTGCCTCTTTCTTTTTGTTTTTCTGTGTTTGGTTCCTCTTCCTTCTCTGGTTTCTTAAGAAGCTGGGAAATTACAATGTTAGTAAAATGTAACTAAAGAACATATTATAATAAAGGAATTAAACTGAAAGTCCTCCCCCAAACAGATTTTTAGTTTAATACACAATGGAACATTTAAACAAATATTCTGTAGTTCTGAAAACATATGTCTGATAATGTAATGAAAAGATGCTTTCATCAGTAAAGAGCCAGATACAGGGCTGCATGCCTGTAAACCTGCCCGTGAGCCAGGAGGATGCAAGTTGGAAGTTGGCCTGGGCAGCTTGGCAAGATCCTATCTCAAACAAAAAAAAGGCTGGGGATATAGCTCAGTGGTAGAGTGTTTGGCTGGCATGTATAACGCCTGGGGTTCAATCCCTAGAACTGAGAAAAAAAACTCAGGGTGTCATAGGGGGTATGACTGCACGTATAGAGCTATCTGAAATATACTCCGCAACACTGCTGACAGGGATCACCCTGTGGGGTGAAGTGGAGATAATTTTCTTTCCATTCATTGATGGCAGTGATGGGAAACCTTTTGGAGTTCTCAATAGTAACAAATGGCCTACTATGGCATGTGCACCGTAGGTTTGCCACCACTGAGCTATGAGTTTGTTTTTCCAAAATAAACAAGTATCAGTTTTAAAAAACAGGAGAATAAAAAATTTAAGATTCCTTTATATTGATGATCTTTACAATAGCTTATCATTTTCCAAACATTTTTCTGTTCCTTGAGACAGAATTAAAAAGCTGCTCTGACACATCTGATGTTGGCATTTGAAGTTTCTGCCAGTCTCTAAGTGGCTAAGTCTGCCAGAAAAGTGGAAGGTACACTTCTTGAGAATTCTGGCCACCCTCATAAAGGGAACATATGCAACCAGATTTCACAGACACTAAATAAAGTGAGCTCCCCCCAATAAAAAGTGCTGTCTCATCATGTGCATACACTGTGCCAGCTGTGCATGGCCTGCTACTCCACCAGCCCGGAACCATGAGCTGAACACTCCCTTAGTAACTGCACATCTGTAATTAAAGCAAGCTCCAATCACTTGCAGCAGGCTCCACTGGACCCATGGATGATTCATGTGCCTATTTTCACTCATAACACCCAGACCCCAGGTACCAAGTCTGTGGTAGACCCCACTTGTGAAGCCCCTAACCTGAGACTGTGTTGCTCCAGTGCTTCTGTGGGAGCCCCTGGTCCCTCTGGATCTGACAGTTCACCAAGACTCACAGAATTCAGGGATATACTTTACTTTTCCTTACTGGCTGATTATAAAGGGTACAACTCAGGAATAGCCAAATAGAGGAGTTATTCAGAGTGAGGTTTCGGGTGTGAGGGAGCTAGTCTCTAATACTAACCTTCTTAGCATCTCCATGTGTTTGCCAACCTAGAAGCCCCATCTAGGTTGTTTCTCTGGAGGTTTTGCCACATGGGCATGTTCAAGTTACTGGCCACTGGTGACTCCAGCCCTCTGGGAGGGAGCCAGGTGAGGCAGAAAGTCCCAATCATTTAATCCCACCTTGTCTTTCTGGCACCCAGTCTCCAGCCCAGTGCTGTCAAGGAGCCCCAGCCCTATCACTGCATACAAGACACTCATCACTCTGCAGATTCCAAGGGTCTCAGCTGTGTGCCAGGAACCACAGGACCAAGACCTGTGTTGGTTACTAGGAACATGGCTGAGTGAGGCAGGCACCTCCTCCACAGAAGTAACACACTGGACATTCCAGCTACAATGGTGGTGGTACACAGGACAAAACAAGCTCAGGCAACACCTAATGGCATGAATATATACTGAACACAATAAAGAAGTAGAAATGTGGGGAGATGATATGGAAACCAAGAATAGATGAGGAGAAACAGCCATGGGCAAGGCTGGGAAAAGAGGTGAAAGCAGCCACGTGTTCAGGAAAGATAAATCCACCAAGAACAGCTAGAGATGAGCCAGGGAGAAACAAAGGAGACAGGGCTGTGGGCTCAGGTGTGTGCCCCTTCCAAGACTTCCAGTGACCTGGGGCTGTTGAAGGCCAGGAGGTTCCCATCCAGCCCACATGTGTGATCTCTGTATGTGTCAACAGTCACACATTCACGCTCACCTGTGCTTATGCTACATATAAACAATCTACACACCTTTTGAAGAGCTTCATGAAAAAGATCACAATTTTTCCAGACTGTCTACTATTTATATATCGAAGGACTTTATGTGTAACTTTGGTAACCCAATGTTTTGGCTAATTTTCTCTCATTGCCGAGACAAAATATCTGATGCCCAAAATTAAGGAAGGAAAGATTTAGCTCACAGTTTGTGGAGGTTTCAGTCCATACTTGGCTGGCTCCAAGGCAGAGTGGAACATGGCACAGAGCAACAGTTCATGGAAGAAAACAGCAAAAGCAGCAAGAGCAAAAAGGGAGGAGCAGACAGCAAACAAGCCTCCTTCCTTCCCTTATATTACATGCAGGCTATTCACTCTTCTATACCTAGTGCAGGGTGGCCATAGTACTCACACCCATAATCCCACTGGACCATGAGTCAATCAAAAACTTTAGGAGCCTGCCCCATGACTGCAAGAGGCTTTGGGGGAACATCTAGACACAAACCATAACACCCAACTTCCTACTTAAGCTCACTGCTCAGTTTGAGTCCTTAGGGGAACACAAACAACAGGGCTATTGTCCAAATGCTGCATTTCTCTTTGCTAGTCACAATAATTCTATGCCTCTCCAACCTTATGCTGTTGGTACAAGTTCTTTTATTATTTCTGCACAGAATTTATTTTTCAGAGTTTTAAAAGTTTGAATTCCTCAGACGATTTTCAAGTTAGAGATGCTCAAATTGGGCATAGGTGTTTATTAGGACCTAAGTGTTATTTGACTTCCTGCACCATAAAGAAAAAAAAAAAAACTAACCGTAGGGTTGGACGACCTAGGGGCAGAATCTCTCCTGTGCTGTTCACCCATCACACCCAGCATGCCTCAAGACAGAAGACTGAGGGTTTGCTCTACCCTTCCTTCACTGACTTTGTTTTACTTTTTATGTGAAAAGCCCTGGACTTGTTTTAATTTTTTTTTGGCTTATTTCAGATTCTAATTCTACTATCACACATGCAAAAATATAATATTATACTCTGAATACTTTAAGTCCTACTTATAGTTGAAATTTTAGGCTACAAGTTTCAGAGGTTCAGAAAAACTTGCAGTAAAAAGCTGTTAAGAATAGTGAGTGGTAGAATGGAAAACATCAGGCACTGTATTAGCCAGTTCTTCTTATTCAGAAAGGTAAATGAGAAGGTTAGAAACTATCTGCACACCATGACCTGAACGGAGGCCAAATGTATTCCTATTTGTTCCTCATTATGACATGACAGTTGAATTTTTATAATGACAAAAACCTTTCCTGTAATAGTAAAGTTTTGTTTCATTAGCTATCTTCTAAGGTGTGGAGGAGCACCTGGATGACTCTCCTTGAAAGAAGAGCAATTATCTCCATTTTGGCTAAACCTGGCTCTATTTCCATGTACTGATATGTACAGGGCTGGCTAGGACTTTTCCTTATCTCTTCAAGCTATGCAAACTGGTCCAGCCAAGGTGGTGATTGAAGCAAAGTGACAGGGCAGTGTTACCGCACCCTCTTAGCTCTCAAAAAATGTGTGAGCTGGGGAGGATGGAGAACCCTGCTCCACACTGCCGGCTGGGATCCAGCCTTGTGATAGAGGCTATGACTTCCTCGGGCATAAAAGATTACACATCAGAGCCGAGGCAACAACCCAAAAACATTAAATAATACCTCAACTGTGTTATGCAGGTTACTCTTTTTGCATATCCTCTCTGCATATTGTGGAAGTGTTTTCAGGCCTCCTACCTACCCCAGCTGACAGCACTCACATACTTCCTGCCTTTCTCACAGTCCCTTATCCTCAAGCCACTCCCCTTTTCGCGAATTAATAAAAGCTGGGTTTGGCCCTGGGTCAAGGCCTTTGTTCCACTTAGCCATCACTGTAGCTGGACTTGGGACCCCCTTGTCTCCCCATGACTACAAATATGCCTTAGTGTCTTTATTCTCACCATGGGTTGCACTAGAAGTGGTACACTGGAATGAACTTGTTAGAATTCCAGTAACTTTTCCATGGGATTACATATAGAAACTTCTCAGACCACGGTAAGAACTGGGAAGGGTTCTCTATGTTTCTTACAGGAAGGAACAACTGTGCTATGCACAGCGATGCTTGTAAACTTACACAAGCTTGGACAAACAAAACATATTGTTCAGTGGCTTCCTGAGAAAACCCCTGCTTTAGCTGCTATGAACCTGTGCTTGCAATTGGCTGGGCTCCTCAATGTCATCAATGTTACTACTAAATTATGCATTTTTTTTTTTTCTTTTTTCTTTTTTTTTTTTTTTTTGTCCTGTACTGGGAATCGAACTCATGACCTTGCGCTTGCCAGGCAGGCACTGTGCCGCTGAGCTAAACCCCCAGCCCCATGGATTATGCAATTTTAAAACATAAATTTGTACCAAATTCTCACCCAAACCAACTTAAAGGAAACTACTTTGGGTAGCTGTTTGGGGACAAATAGTTTACCTGCTCATTTTGTACTTCAGCGGACATGAGCAACATTGCCTGGCTCCTGTCCCATACCTTTCATGAAGTTTCTTGCACAAATGCCCTTAAATTTTAAGAAAGACATTAAAAGAAACATCCTTGGGAATTAAATCAGTCATAGTGCTTTTGTCGGATGTTTCAGGCTTTCCCTCTGAAATTATGAGGCCAGACGACTTTGTTTTGGCCACTCAGATGTGGGTAGAAGCAACAAGTACCAATTCCACATGAAACCTTTAAGAGCTTGTGTGCAGTTACACATTTCTTTCTCATCATAAAGACGGCGAGGGCCACACTAAGACAAGGTCTCGGTCAGCTCAAGTAACTAAGAGATTCCTGTGAGCAAGATGCCACTGGCACACGGCACAATGCACAGAACAGTAAATGGGCTGAGCCAATGGGATGTTGGAACTACCTGTCACTGCAGCATAAGCTAGCAAGTCCTAACTGATACACACAACTGTGTGCTTCCAGGAATATAGTTTAAAAACTGCTCTTTCCTACCACACAGAAAGCATGTTTCTGTTTTTGACTGCTAAGAAAACCAGAAACTACTTTATGGTGCATTATCTTTTCCCTAAGTCCTACAAATTGCTATTTTTTCCTTATATTGTATAATTCTATTGAAGTCCTATCAAGTACTCATAGCCCTCTGCAGAATGAGGTAAACTCACACTGGGTTCAATGGTGTCCTAAGAAGGTAAAGGCTGATCTTAATTCTGGTCAATCCCCGTTAGTAAACCTCCTTAAGATACCTGAATGAGTGCACTGGCTGCAGAAACCAGGCAAGACAGCGAGAGGCTCAGTCCTGAGGTACACGCAGAAAGGCTGACCAGGCAGTGTTCACATGTGTACTTCCAGTCAGGAAAACTTTTATTTAAAGGAATACCTGCAAGCAGGAGTCCAGCATGTGGCATTCAAATGTGGGGCTCCTCCAGTGGTGCCCCACTTCACATAGGGTGGGGGGTGCTCCCTCTCCCAACCCTAGTCCTCACAGCCTGCTCCAGGAACTCTGTGGACCTGGGAACAGTCTGAAAACTGTGGTTGTAGAATGGAAAGCAGGAACTATATTAAAAGATTAGAGTAACTAAAAGTGCTTTTTAAATTCTAAAAGCACTATACCTAAGTAAGCACAACAAACTATTTCTGGAAAAAGTAATTTTTTTTTTCCAAATTACCTTAATCCTCATTTCTGTCTCAACAGCTGTCTTTTGTTTATCTGCCTCTTTCCTCCTGCATCTTTCTTCTTCTCGTCTTTTTCTTTTTTCTTCCTCCCGCAAGCGTTTCTTTTCTAACTCCCTCCTCCTTCGTTCTTCTCGCTTCTCCTCTCGTATTCTCTAAAGGTACAGACAAGCACATATTTATGTTTTCTGGATGGAAACAGCAAATGAAGGAGGGATATTCACCAGGTCAGACCTACCTGCTTTTCTAATTTTCTGTTTTTAATATAGTCCAAAAGAGGTGTGGTTCTTCTAGCTAAAACATAAAAATTTCAGTGTAGTATGTATATGGAACTTCTACATTGCGATTTCTTTATTGTAAATACTTGTTTTCAATTTAAAATACTTATAGAAGACTATTACTTTAAAAATTTATTTGAGCATATACTGTATCCAGGAGTTCTTATTCCATTACTATAAATTCAAGTAATACGGAGATACCAACGATTTGGTAAACACATTATCTCTCCTCATATTCACTGTGTCAGTATGGTGCTGCAACTCACCATTCTGCTCAAGTCAAGTCATGGAGTCTTTAATTCTTTCTGTTCCTTTTCACAACCACCTTCCTTCCCTGTCTATTCTACCTCCAAAGTACAGTTAAGTCCCTGACTTACAAGCGAGTTCTGCTCCAGAAGAACTGTTCATAATCTGGATTCATGTGTAGACTGATAAAGTGAGTCGTAAAAAGTATACCTATGAAAGTTCGCAATGCAACTATCTGTAAGTCAAGGACTTACTATATATACCACACCTGCCAACCTCAAGCAACAGCCTCCCTAGGGACAGAAGAATCACCCATCAGGCCCCAACTCTTGTCTCAGCATTCAAAATTATCATGGATGGAGCAATGATACAAAGACACAGATCAGCAGGTGTCACTCCCTGGAACAAATTCAGGCCCCTTACCCAGCTGACACCAGGTACATACTTCTCTCCTACATAAACTTGCATTCTGCTCCTACAAAGCTCCACCCTGTCTGCTTATTTAACAAACATTTACTTAATTCCCAAACCTCTCTGTGCTGTGACTACAAAGTTGAAAATATAGTTCCATCAGGGAAACTGGACGCTTAAGAAGGGCGTTTACATGGAGGGAGACCAATAGATAAGATCAACTATAAACACAGTAGTTATTACATCCGGCAAGTCTTGATGAGAGATGGACACAGTGCTGAGGTGGCAGAGTACCACAGCCTTGAGGAGAGGCCCAACATAAAGCAAGACTAGATGGGAAGGGAGGCTACACAAGCTCATCTGGGACTAAACTAAGGAGTTTGACTAGTGATGGATAAAGGTGTTTTGGGAATGACAAATACATGTTAGATAATGTTCAACAAGTATTTCTAAATTACACTACTCTGGGTGGAGTCAAGGGCTAGATTCAAACCACATTCTATGCTATGGCTGGGTTTATCCACTGGTTGGTTTGGCTTTCTCAGGGGGCTGAACATTAATTAGGACGGTAGCTTCATACTCAGCAAAGCACCTCATCCCCATGGACTCCTGAGCCCCATCTATAACCACTGTTTGTAAAGACCACTCCTCTCCCCCACTCAGCTGTGTGGCAGAGTACCATCCAGAGACAGCTCAACACATTGGCCATAGGTGTGTCACTGCCCTCCAGAAAGCACTTACAAAAGGGTGCAGAAGACTCAGGTGTTCTGTACCAATAAAGGCTCAGAAATACCTCCCCATTCTGCCACCCTTCTGTAAAAACTGAAAAACAATACACTTCTGCCAAGCCTGTAACTGTAACTGTGAAAAAGACAAAATAAATACATACTCTATAAATAAAGTATTTCCATAAAGAGAAGAAATGAGCAAAACAGACCAACAAGTTCTCTTGTCTTTGCTTCTATCTCTACCAGAAGGGTTTCAGGATTGGCACTGGGTCTTTCTTCTTCCATGCTGTAAGTTTCTAAAAACTGCTTATACTCTGGATCTATAAATTTAAAATAAAATATTTTTAAAAATTCCTCCCCAACTCTAAGAAAGGAATAATACATGATGAATGTAGTCAGTCTACTTAAAAAGGGCTCACCATCTTCAATGCTCCCTGTCTTGGCATCTCTCTTCTTCAGCTTCTTCTTGACTATCTTCTGGAACGGGGCAAACTCTACCACTGCAGGATACTCCAGGCCTTTACCAAGACACATTCCAAAGACCACTCTGAAATTCTACTATGCTCACTTTGGAAAACAACAATTTAACTTACTTAAGGATGATACATGATAATGACAAAGGCAAATTCCACAGTTAAAGCATGAGCTTAGCTGGTGGTAGGAGGAACCATATTTATTAAATAAAATGATCTTCATGTGGTGGTTAACAGACTAAACACATTCAAAACATCAAAACACTCACTGTAAAAGGTGGCTTTTGCCATCCATAGTTTACCTCTCAATAAACTTGACTTCCCTCTTTCTCTCCCAAATAATCTATCATCTAAACATCTTTTGTCAATTTTCTTTAATATCCTTTATTTTAAAATGTCAATTTAATTACCAATTTGTTATATAGGTTCAAGGAAATTACTTTGCTTGATAGACACAGAGCTAAAAGGGGGTGAAGATTCACAGGTACATACCATGTCCCATGAAAGATTCGTTTTAAATAAAGAGGTAGAGAAAGAAAGCAGTTAAAACTGATTTTGTGCTGGGCATGGTGGCACACACCTATAGTCCCAGCAGGCAGAGGATTGCCAAGAGTTCAAGGCCAACATGGACTACACAGTGAGACCCTGTCTCCACAAAAAAAACCCCAAACAAACAAAAACAAAACCAAACCTAAACAAAACAAACTTGATTCTGTTGTTAAATAGGGACAAACAGAATATGTCTACCTATATACCAAAGCCAAAGACTAATCATTTTTAACCTTGTCAGTAATGGTTGGGTGACTACAGTGTCGTAACCCTCACTTATTTGAAACCTGTTTTTGTGCTAACTTCAATTGTCCAGAGTGAAGTCAAAAATTAGGAAGAAAGCTGGGCATGGTGGCGCATGCCTGTAATCCTAGCACTCAGGAGGCTCAGGCAGGAGGATCTTTGCGAGTTTGAGGCCAGCCTGGGCTACAAAGTGAGCTCAAGGCTGGCCTGAACTGCACAGTGAGACCCTGTCTTAAAAAAAAAAACCTCTGCCCCCGAGAAGAAATGAAGAGAACAGGACTCTGAACTGACAGGAACAGCGTCAACTCCCTGCTACACCTACAATGCCTGGTACACGGGAGGTGAGTATTAAATAGCACCTGATACACTCCCTGATTTCGAAACCTACTACAAAACTATAGTAATTAAAACAGCGAAGTACTGGCATTAAGACAAGATATATACACTAATGCAATACAATAGGAGTCACAGAAAAACCCTTGTATATATGGCCAAATGACTTTCTTTTTGTTTTTTGTTTGTTTTGAGACAGGGTTGCCTGGACTCACTATGTAGCACAGGCTGGCCTCAAACTTGCAGTGATTCTCCTGACTCAACCTTCTTAGTGCTGGGATTACAGGCATGCGCCACCATGCGTACTTGCCAGATGATTTTTGACAAGGGTGCCAAGATCACTCAATAGGGAAAAGGTAGACCCTTCAACAAGTGATGGTGACAAAACTGGACATCCACATGCAAAAGAATGCAACTGGACCAACACCACATACAAACGTTAATTCAAAGTGGATCAAACATAAACATGAGGCCTTAAACTATCAAATATTAAAAAAAATAGAGGAAAAGTTTTTTAACATTGGATGTGGCAGTGAGTTGTCAGACATGACACGAGAAGTACAGGTCACTAGAATAAAAGTATATAAACTGGACTACACTGAAATGAAGAATTTCCACAGCAAAGAACACAACTAAAGGAGTTTAAAAGCTACCTCCATAATGAAATATTTGCAAATCCCATCTCTGCTAGGAGGTCACCAGAAGATACAAAGAATTCCTATAATTCAACAATAAAATAAACCCAATTAAGAAATGGGACAGAGAATTTGAAGAGGTATTTCTCCAAAGATGATCCACAAACAGCCAAGAAGCATATAAATAGGGACTCAAAATCAATAATCATTAGAGAAAGACAAATCTAAAACAAAATGAGGTGTTGTCAAACCCACTAGGCTGTATACTATAAAACAAAAACAACAGATAATAATAAAGTGTTGGTGAGAATGTGGAACAGGTGGACAACTTGTGCCCTATAGGTAAGAATATAAAATATGCAAAATGGTACAGCTGGTATGGAAAACAGTACAGTGGTTTCTCAAGAAATTATAAATGGGCCGGACGTGGTGGCGCATGCCTGTAACCAGTACTCAGGAGGTTGAGGCAGGAGGATCACTGCGAGTTCGAGACCAGCCTGGGCTACGAAGGGAGCTCAAAGTCAGCCTGAACTGCATAGGGAGACCCTGTCTCAAAAAGACCAAAAAAAAAAAAAAAA